CAGTGTTCCCATGTTCTGTTCAAACAACTGCCTCTTGGTCCATGTACAGATTCCTCATGAGCACAATTAAGTGTTCCGGAATACTCATACTTCCCAATGATGCCCATAGCTTGTCATGATCCACACAATTGAAAGCTTTTGTGTAGTCAATAAAGCACAGGTAATCATCTTTCTGATACTCTCTGCTTTCAGCCAAGATCCATCGGACATCAGCAATGATATCCCTGATTCCACAGCCTCTTCTGAATCCGGCTTGAACCTCTGGAAGTTCTCTGTAATGTATGATTGCAGTTGTTTCTGTATTATCTTTAGTAAAACTAGAATAATTGTAGAAACTCTCAAATAGGAACCTCATTTGCTATGCAAACTTTCACCAAAAACACATTAAAATCTTATATATATTTTTTAAAAAGTGTGTAAACTAAAAAGAAAAAAAAAGTGTGGCCACCACAGAGCAGAGGCCAGGTCAGAGCAACCCTGCTGGTAACCCAGAAAGTGCGTATGTTCTTCCCCAACTTCTTGGGAAGCTAAATCAGCCCGCTAAGAAGCCTGAGATCTCGCAGAGCCCACTCTGACCCTCAGACACAAACCACAAATCTGAGGCCACAGGAAGGACCACGGTGACAGACGAGGCAGCCTTGTCCGAGCAGCCTTCCCACACTGACTCAGGGTTTGAAAGAGTGGCCAGGTCCCCTAACCCAACCTTTCGGGACCCCAGCTTAGGAGGAGGCATTTGCCTGTGTTCTGATGGGTGGGTAGGAATGGGGGCCAAGAGGACAAGAGCAGGGTCTTGGGCTATTGGAGGCACAATTTCCATCTGAGTGGGTCAGTAAACCAAGGCCAGACTGTGGGGCTGTGGGTGTGTCAGGTCGACCTGAGAACCAGAAGGTCACAGCAGAGGATGAAGGCACCAGGTACATCATAACGTCTGCTCAGGACCAGCCTCCACTTGAGACTTACTGCCACTCATCTCCCATAGACTGCCCTGGACTCCATCCCATTTGGAACCCTGGACATGCTCAGTCCACAAAGGACAGAGGTCACACAGCTCACGTGTGCCCACGCCAGGTCTTCAGACAGAGAGTAGGAGGCCCCCTCCCCTCCTGGGGCTCTTCCCCAGGTTTGCCAACACCACCCCGACCAGAGCTGACTCACATATTCATCAGGGTTGGGGTCCTGTGACTGGGGGGTGTCAGGGACCGCCGTATCACAGTCAGGGCTGTAGTGCTCACAGTAATCATAAGCTGCCCGGTGGTCCGAGACGAAGAGCAGCTGCTGGATGTCTCCCTGAAAAAGAACGGGCACACTCACTGGAGGGTCCCATGGGCAGAGACCCAGCCTGCTCTTGTGATGCGGAGATCCCCTCTGGAGACTGGTGGTTCATCCATCAACCCACCCACCCATGAAGCCATCATCCATCCATCCAACTACCCACCCACCCATCCAACTACCCACCTATATACCCATATACCCACCCATACATCCAACTACCCACCCATCCAGCCAGCTACCCACCCATACATCCAACTACCCACCCATACATCCAACTACCCACCCATACACCTATCTACCCACCCATACACCCATCTACCCACCCATACACCCATCTACCCACGCATGCATCCAACTACCCACCTATCCATCCAACCACCCACCCATCCATCCAACTACCCTCCCATCCATC